GCTCTTCCAATGACCCAAAGAACTCCTTCACTACTTCATCAGCCCAAGTGCTGAACATTTTTCTTACTTCATTTTCAATTTGGTGTTCAAATTTGAAGCCATCGCTTTGCTTGAACTTTTTAAACAAATGACCAAATATCTTCAAACCCAATTTCTTTCTATTCCTCTCTCTGGCATTCTTTAACTCTAAAGCCCTAACTTCCTTTTGTCTAAGGTACTTTTTCCGTGCTCTAAGCGCTTTCTCTGACATAGGAGGACGTAAAACCGAAGGCAGAACTGCCTGTAGTTCCATTCCCATAAAATCAATCTTCTCAGACACCGCACTATGAATCGCCGTCTTTACTCTATCAACCTTCAATTCCAATCTCCCTTCCAAGTATTTCACCACCCAATTCTTCAAATCCATTGTCAACATCTTCGACCCGGAAGTTGTAACTAGTATCTCATCCAAGTACCTAACTGCATATATCTTCACTGGCTTATAGAAAACACCATCCTCGGAAACAAGTTGGTTCGGTTCAAATTTGGGATTTTCTTGCTTCTTCCTAAGCCTCATTTCTTGAAGTTCTCTATCAAATCCATCAAAGTAAACATTAACCAAAATTGAACTTAATCTACTTTCTTGAGGAAACCCTCTTCCAAAATAACATCCACCTAATTCAATTTGCACAACCCCAATCTCAAACAACCTCTTTACAATATCAATCAACACTTTATCATCGATTTTCTCTTCTATAAACAAACACAACTTATCAACATGTTGACCACCAAACTTTTCCCTACTAAAGCCAACACTAAACCACCAAGCGGGATTTTCCACAGAATTCTTGAGATACCTAATGGCCGTATGCCTTCCCATACCAACACGCCCACCATAAGAAAACGTCACAAACCTCTCATCATACACAATCTCAAAAACCATCCTAATGGCTTCAATAAAAACCTTTAATTTCAAGTTGGGCAATATCAAAAACTCACCTTTGTCCGCCGAAGCCGCCATTTTGACGCAGCAAGCCTCGACGAAACCGAACCGGTTTTCGGAGATCTCCCGACCCATTTCCTCAACGGAGAACCTCTTGGGGAGCTCGGTTTTTGGGGCGCCATTGTTGGGTACGAGGTTTTGGCCGGCGGTGAGGAGGACGGAGGGCAAAGCGACGACGTTTTTTACGAGGTCGGAGAACTTGCCGTGGGAAAAACGGGTGAGGACCAGATCTTCGAGCTGGGGTTTGGAGAGGGGTTTTGGAGGGTTTAAGGTTGGGGTTTTGGGGTGTTTCAGTGAGTGAAGAAGGAGAAGAGGAATAGAAAAAGAAGGGTTTTTCGTGATGATTGGAACGGTCGTTCTTCGGATGTTTACGAGCATTGAAAAAGAGAACACCAAAAAAAACGTGGGATTGAGTTTGATTTTTGAGGCCTCGTTTGATTCAGCCTCCAAAAACCTCTAATGTTCATGTGTTGTACTTGTTAAGTGTTCTGGGTTTTGAAAGCTTCTGCTTCTGTGGTTGATTCGAGGGAAAAGAAGACAAATACGTTCAACGCAAATGCACGAGTTTTTCGCTCCTTACTTTTAATTAATACAATTTAATTAAATAATTATATTAATTAAAAGAGTATTAATTAAAAATAAAAAGTAAAAATCTTAATGCACACTAATGTTCTCTTGATTTTTTTTTTATTTATGTTGGTGTAATTAATACAATTTAATTAAATAATTATATTAATTAAAAAAGTATTAATAAAAAATAAAAAGTAAAAATCTTCATGCACACTAATATTCTCTTGATTTTTTTTATTTATGTTGGTGAAAGAAAGAAAAAGAAAATTGTTAAACTTAACTAATACTTTTTTTATTAATATAATTATTTGATTAAAAAATATATTAATTAAGAGTAAAAGATAAAAATTCATACATATATATTGTAAAAGAATATTTGTCTCCATTTCCCAGAAGAAACAAGACTGAACCTAACTTTTATAAGACTTGTGACTCAATAGAGAAATCTTGACAAATTCTTTTAAATATGTATTAGTCTTAATTTTTACTCATTATTCTTCATTAATACATATTTAAGTTAAATAACTATATTAACAAAAATATATTAATCAAGAGTAATAAGTAAAAATTCTACTTTTAAGGATAAGTTTATCACTTTTCTGGACCCCCTTCCAGCCCTCTCCCAATAGGGTAATTTTTAAAAGTGAAATAGTAGAAAATAGGCTAATATGAAATGTTTAAGAAAGTATATAAGCCAATTTTTAGTTATAAAAATTAATAGGCCATAACTTGTCAAGTTATAGTTCATAACCAGATAAGTTATTGACAAACTTATCAAGTTATAGTTCATAACCAAATAAGTTATGGACAATTATGGATAATAACTTGTCAAGTTATGGTTCATAACTAAACAAGTTATGGACAAAAATAATAATTTAGCATATTTATTAACTTATGTAAACTATTAGCCTATTAATTTTAATTCATCTAAAGTCTTAGCCTATTTTTTTCTTTCTCCCTTTTTAAAAATACTCTTTAAAATAGAGATCCTTTTATTTTTATCTCTAAACATTAGCCCATATATTTTTACATTTTAAACTAAAACTAGTTAAGATGTAAACTTTTTTAAAATAAGTACTTTTAATAAATCATGCGTAAAAAGGTAGAATCCCTCATTTTCTCTTCCCAATAAGGTTTTAAAAATCCACTTAGCTATGCACTGATTCTCTCTGGTTTTGAAAAAAAAAAAAAAAAAACACTAAAAATACTTCCTCTAAAAAAATATTATTTATGTCACTTCAATATAAAATAAAAAATTATTCTTCAATTAAAAAAAATTATAATAACATTTAATTATTTAAAATAACATATATAATAAATTTGTATAAAATTATAGCAAATCATATACTTTTTCTTTTGGGTATTCTTACTAATCACCACGTAATTCAAACTACGTCTATCAATCCATTTGACTGACGTTGTAAACTTTTTACGTCGGTCAAAAGGCAACTAATGTAAAAAGCATCTCGTTAGCATTTTTCACATTGATTCCCATGGCCAACATCAAAGCATATGATACGGGGCTTTTTAATTTTGGGTGGTTGGCTATGGATTAGTAGAACAGTGAGTGAATTAGTGGAAGAATTTAAGTACTGTTTAGTTCGCTGATTTGAGTTGAGATATGATTTTGGCCTCGTTCACTTCGCAGATTCGAGTTTTCAATTCGAGCTGAGATGTGACATTTTCTGAGAGCTTTTCACTGTAGTAGAAAAAGTTAGGTTTGAGATTTTCTGAGAGCTTTTTACTGCAGAAACTTAAAACTGAAAACTCGAATCGGTGAAATGAACGAGGCCATTTATGTTAGAGCTTTTTACTGTAGCAAAAAAGTTAGATGTGATTGTTTCTGATAGCTTTTTACTGTAGTAAAACTCAAATTTTAAACTCGAATCGATGAAATGAACGGGGCCTAAGTATTCGTTGTTGTTTTGTAAAAGAGAAAAGAGAAGTAAATAGATTGGGCATATAAAAAGATTAGAAAATTGAGTTTATAATGAACACATAAGAGAAACAGGTTTTTCTTCCTCTCCATTTTCTTCACAGGGTTACACTTTTATTTCCTTCTAATTTTATTTCCCCTTTATCAAATATAGACTTAGACCCTGTTCATTTATCGATTCAAGTTTATAATTTGAGTTTTGTAATAGTAAAAAGCTCTTAAAAATAGTCACATTTAATTTTTTTACTACAGTAAAAAACTCTCATATAAAGTCAAATCTCAACTAAAATTAAAAACTCAAATCAACGAATTAAACAGACCCTTAAAGTTCTATCTATTTTTTCTTCTCTCATTCTCCTCCGTTGCATTATGTTGACATGAGCTTCACTGCAATTCATCACCGCTTTTCGCCTCGAGTTGTTCACACACTGATCTACTAAGAAGTGACGCTGGCAGAGTGCAAGATCTAGTGAATGGCAACGGTCTTTGGGTGGGTTTGTTATTGCTTTTAGGAGAGAAAAAGCACTTATTGAGAGATCTAAAATCTAAAATCTTGTTTGGTAAAACAAATTTTTAAATAATTTCCTCCCAATCTGAAGCTAAAAGCATAATCAGCCTTTAGGCTGATTCTGATTTCAGCTTATGCTGGAATCTGTTTTGAGTGTTTAATGAAATTTTTTATTTCTAATTTTACCCCCACTGAAATCTGAAATTTACCACCCATTTTCATTTCAAATCTCTCCACTCTCCTCCACTCGTATCTCTCCTCTTCCTCCTCTGCGAAATTTTTTTTGAGAGTTCTATCCTCTCTCCTTATCGCCGTTCGAAGCGAGGTTCCCTGGCTCCGTTCACCGGCCTCTCTCTCTCTCTGTTCGCCGGTTGATCTCTCTGTTGGCCTCTTGGAGCTCGTTTGGTTTCTCCTCCGCCTGATTGATCTCTTCGTTGCCGGTCTCCCTTCTCCTCCTTCGACTACCCGTCTCTCGTCATCAGATCAAGAGGTAAGCCTCTCTAACCGCGCGATTTTTAGTTTGAACATTTGGATTTTTGGGTCTGATTTTTAGTTTGAATATTTTGGGTTTTAGGTTTCTGATTTTTGCCTTCAAAGAAAAACGGTTGAGCTTTGTTAAGGGTTCGGTTTGCCGGTATCCCATCTCCTCCTCTGACTGCCCATCATCAGATAAAGAGGTAAGCCTTTGTAAGTGCTCGATTTTTAGTGCGGCTTTAGATTGGGTTCTGATTTTTTGTGCGAAAATGGGTTTGGTTTAGGGTTATGATTTTCTTCAGATCATTGTACATTGTTGAAAGTTCCTCAACACAAAAAATGAAATGAGATGACCATACTGTTAAGGGTTCTGATTTGCTGTTTGCTCTTATCATATTTTTTGTTGTCTTTTTTTGTTGTGTATTCTTGATGTTTTAGATGCTTTTAGCAATTAAGCATAGGCAGTAATCTAATGCGTCAACATGAATACTTTTCATGTGCAATTATCATTGCAGATATCGTTCTAAGCAAATGTTAGTAACAAGTTATTCGAGATGACCATACCTAGCAGATAGAGTATTTCTTTCCCTCCTACCCAAACAACTTGATTTCCTCGCCAAGTAAAAGCATGAATAAAATTGGTAAATCCATTTCCATGTTTCTTAATCACATAATTAGGTTATGTCTTATTATATGCAAGCAGCTAAACATCAACTTATTGACTTAGATATAAGAAAAGTTAATCACCTCATGAAGTGCCATTAGAGCTTCAGCTTGCCACCGAGTAATCTTTGGAGCAAGTTGGTTACTAATCACTTTTACCTGAAATAAATCACACGAACTGTTAGTATTACATGATCAAAGTTCACTAGTATGACAAATGCATAGAACTTTAAAAGATAACAAAACGCCAAAAAACAGTAATCAGGGCATCCATTCGTTTTCATAAAACGATGATCTTGATGTTTCAATCAAATACATTAGTTCTTATGCCAATTTTTAGGTGAAGCATCTAGGACTAGAAGCTATGCTTAGTTTGGCTATTTATTGAGTGTTCGAATTGGAAATAAGGTTAGTATTACCCTTATTGTTATTTTTGTAAATTAAAGCATGAAGCCTCACATTGTTTTAGACTTTCAGTTATCAATTTTCAAATGGAGGGTAGTATACCACAAGGTAAAGCAATATGGGACCCCGAGACTGTGGATCTGTTTTGTGATTTGTGTATTATAGAGGTGGAAACTGGACGCCGTCCTGGAACTCATTTGGATAAAGTTGGATGGGAAAATTTAATTCGGAAATTTAATGAAGCAACCAAACGAGTATATAAAAGACAACAATTGAAGAATAAATGGGATGCTTTGAAGAATGATTGGAAGCTTTGGAAGGAACTTATTGGTAAAGAAACTGGTCTAGGTTGGAACATTAAGAAGAATACTATTGATGCATTTGAGGAATGGTGGCATAATAAATTGCAGGTATACAGAATTATGTTTGTCATTGTTTATTATAGTGTTGGACTAGGCAGGTTTAATTTATTGAAGTGCTCTTGCAAATTCATCCCAACGCATCAAGGTTTCGCACTCAGGGAATTGAACCACAGTTAGAAGAAAAGTTAAATAGGATGTTCATGAATATTGTGGCCACAGGAGTGTATTCTTGGACACCATCATCTGGGCAAGTGCCATGTGAGTCTGATAAAGGTGGAAATGATAATTCTACTTTACCTGAACAACTTGAGAGTAGTGGTGAATCAGGTGAAGCAATCCGAAGTGAATTGGCACAAGACCGTAAGAATAAGAGACCAATTGAGACAGATGAGAGACAAAAGAAAATCAAGAAAGGAAAAGGAAATGTGAGGGTTGGAGGAGCTGCTAAATTGTCTCAACAAATTGATCACCTTGTCGATATAGTTGAGAGTAGAAGTACTGGATCATCGATTACGCAATATGACGCTGGAAACTATAGCATAACAAAAGTTATTGAAGTTCTAGATTCGTT